GGAAGAGCGCGATGCCCCGCTCGTAGGCCTGCGGGTGGCACGGGGCGCTGTGGGCACAGCCACCGCACCGGGGTGCCCGCCGCTGCCCGCCCGGGACTCGGGTGCCCATGGTGTCCCCGTCACTCTCTTGGGACATAGGTGCCCGTGGTGTCCTTGGTGGTCTCCCAAGAGGGGGGAGCCCATGGTGTCCCTGATGCCATCCCTGGACGTGGGTGCCTGTGGTGTCCTTGGCGGCCTCCCACCCATGGTGTCCCCAATCCATCCCGGGTTGTGGGGGCTCGCAGGGCCCTGGTGGCCTTGTGCCCACGGTGTCCCCGACACCATCCCAAGAGAGGAGAGCCCACGGCGTCCCTGATGCCATCCCGAGACAGGGGTATCTGCAGTGTCCCCAATGCCATCCTAGGATAGGGGTGTCCACAGTGTCCCCATCACCCTCTTGGGACATGAGTGCCTGTAGTGTCCTTGGCGGTCTCCCACCCATGGCGTCCCCAGTGCCATCCCAGGACGTGGGGGCTTGTGGGGCCTTGGTGGCCTCATGCCCGTGGTGTCCCGGACGCCCTCCCAAAAGATGGGAGCCCACGGTGTCCCTGATGCCATGCCGGGACATGGGTGCTTATAGTATCCCCAGTGCCCTCCCAGGACAGGGGTGCCCGCGGGGTCCCCATCACTCTCCTGGGACAGGGGTGCCCGCGGTGTCCTCCTGGGGCAGAAGTGCCCACAGTGTCCCTAATTCCCTCCTGCCCCCGGTGTCCCCGTCCCCCTCCCAGGCTGCGGGGTGCCTGGGGTGCCGCGGCAGGACCCGGCACCCACCTTGAAGCTCTCCTCGAAGTAGCCGTGCTCCTCGAGGAAGAGCGCGTAGTTGATGACGATCTGGGGGGTGGCGATGCGCAGGTCCAGGATGCGGTCGTACACGGCCTTGGTGGACTGCGGGGGCACGGCGGGGCTCAGCACCCTCCGCTGCGGGCTCGGGGGGCACCCGGCGGGGGACAAAGGGGCTCGGTGGGCTTGGAGACACCCAAGAGGGGAACAGGGGAGGTACCCGAGGGAGATAGGGGGGTGAGGGAGCCTAGTGGGCATGGGGACACCCTAGAGGGACAGGGGGCCACCCAAGGGGGACAGGGTGGGCTGAGGAAGCCCAGTGAACATGAAGACACCCAAGGGGGACAGGAGACCCCCCCGGAGCGGTAGGACAAAGTAGCTCAGTGGGCTTGGGAACACCCACGGGGGACAGGGGGGCACCTGTGGGCCACAGGCGGGCAGAGGGAGCCCAGTGAGCATGGGGACACCCAAGGGGGTCGGGGGCACGTGGGACCCCCAAGGGGGGCTGGGGGGGGCCCACA